AGCAAGCTGATAACAGTCGAAACAGAACATCGTGCGTATAAAAAAAAAAAAAAAAAAAAAAAAAAAAAAAAAAAGCTGGACTGACAGAGCTGCTGCTGCTCCTGGGAGGGGGGAACAATGCTGATGACGTCAAAGCTCAAACCTTCAACGCATCAGATACTCGTCGCAAGTTAAAAAGTGCCTAAAAAACGTAATACATAACCTTATTGTTTTGTTTCGAAAATTAAAAAGCATTCTGTAAATGGGGGGAAAAAAAAAAAAAAAAAAAAAAAAAAAAAAAAATAAAAAAAAAAAAAAAAGATTTAAATGAAAAAGAAAAAAAAAAAAAAAAAAAAAAGGAAATCAGATCAGCATTGACCTATGGGACACAAAAATACAACCAGGTCTCATACTTTGTGCAAGAACGGGCCTTTAAAAAGCATGTTTGATAATATATTGTAGAATATTTACAATTCATATTCACAGAGAACATTTGAGACATCTAATACTGCAGTACCATTTGTTTGCTTATAACAGGGATTATGATGCTCAGGTACAGTCTAAAGCATAAAGGCAAGAGTTATTGCTCCAATCTGCATAACATAGTAAACTGTGTGCTTATAGCTTCCAATGACTTTAGAATGAGGCGCATCCAAAGGATAAGGAAGAAAAAAAACAAAACATTGTTGTGAAGGCATTGAATCTCTAGTAAGGCTGTAATGAAGAAATATTGCATCAATCTCTCACCCCCCGAAACAGAAGCCTTGTGGTAAAGTGCAGCCACAGCCAGTTGTACCGTAGTCCTGTTCTGCAGTCTGGCTGTGACGCTGAATACTGCCTGACAGCTTCAGGTCACACACATAAACGCACGTGCAAACACACAGCCGTATCGGATTTCTGTATACATGTGTGCGGATGAAACCTAGCACAAATCATTTGTCCTTTCAGCCCACACCCTCTAGGGCGAGCAGCATGTTGTGCTGAGTTCTTTGTGTCAAAATTTATGCTGGGGGAACTCTACTGTGTGTGTGGTGAATGTGTGTGTGCGTTTGCGACCAGTTCCTCTCCTTGTTCAGCTAAATCTGCCACAGCTGAAAGGTCCAGATTCTGTCATGAGCCACAGGTCCTCAGCAATACTTCTGCAAAAAACACACAAAGCAGACAGACAGTTACAAACGGAAATCCTCCGAGCAGCAGCTGAAACACATGTAAGACCCTAAAATTATCCACCTGGTCAGGTCCCATTGGCATTCGGCCCATCCCCATGGAGTTCATTCCCATTTGACCCTGCATCTGTCCTGGCATTTGAGCCATCTGTCCTGCACCAGCCCCGCTGACCGGCCCGGGTCCCCCCATAGAGTTGTTCATCATCATGGGTCCAAACTGGCCCTGATTGCCCTGCTGGGGGAACTGTTGAGGATAGGACCTAGACAAGGAGAAAAATGAAAAGTAAATTACCTCTGTAACTTGATTTTGAGAAGTGCTCAGGACCGTTTCTGTTAAGTAACACTTAAACAACTGATGACTAAAGGAAGCATGATGCAGCATACATGTTACGTGGCATTCCACCCTGCGGCCATCCTTTCAAGTCTCCAGATGGGTACGAGTGCCCTCCCTGTGGATTTCCCTGCATTCCTGGCATCATTGCATTCTGTGGTGGGCCTCCCATTCTTCCTGGCATTATATTTCCTGGTGGGCTGCAACCTGGAGTCATGAAGGCTGGGTCCCCCTGCTGGTTCATCCCTGCAAATAGTGCAACAGTTGTTGAGTGTGAAACTTCAGGAGGATATGACAAAGGATACTGACAGCTGGCTCTATCTCAGTCAACTCACCGTAGTTGCCTCCATAGTTGAAAGCCTGCTGTCCAGGCTGGTTCATGGGGGGGGGGCCCATTGGATTATCCATGCCTGTTGGTGCTGTGACATTAGGAGGAGGGCTGAAGGTACCTGCTGCCCCCTGACCTTGCTGCTGCTGCTGCTGCTGCATCATCATCATCATCCGCTGCCTTCTTAACTGCAACTCTCTGCGCTGAGCTAACACCTGGGCACTCAGGAAACCCGGCTGCAGAGAACAACAATGCTCAGTGTTAAATAGGCAAGTTGGAGCTTTGCTGCCGTGTCGAGTGAACGCACACTACATTACAGATGAAGTACTGTCTACATACCTGACCACCCATGCCAGGTTGCATGCCTGTGCGTATGACAGGGTTTCCTCCAGGGGTACTTTCCATCTTCACAGCTTGTCGTGCCTGGTTCATAAACTGCCAGGTGAGATGAGATAAATACACCTTGTTATTCCTTTATACCATTTTTTCACATCCATATTTAACAAACATACAAGAAGACAGATTTCAAAGAAACAAGTTGGAAGCCTGGAAGACTACCTTTAAAAAAGTGTGTCATAGAGAGATTACCTGTGGTCCTTGTAGTCTCTGCTGTAGTTGAAGTCTCAGAGGCTTGTTGGCAGTCATCATGCGAGGTCTTGGCATGTTTGCGCGGGGGTTGCCTATACCCCCCATGCCAGGAAAACCCCCTGGCTGCCCCATCTGATTCATCATGGGACTGAAGGTTCCAGGAGACTGGCCTTGCATTGCATTGCCACCATATCCAGGCTGCATGCCCATCGAGGGGGGGCCTGGGTAGCCTTGGCCATACATGGGTTTTTGGTCCATGCCTAAGGAGGTATCAGGCCCTGGGAATGGCCCCGATGGTGGTGGGCATGGACCCTGGCTTTGATCTTGGCTGTGCTGAAGGCCATCAGGTCCCTGGGCCTGGCGTACAGAGATGTTGGTTTGTTAGTGGACTAAACTTTACTAGAATTCCTGTGCATGTTAAGCCAAAAGTGGTTCTAACAATGGCACTAGTGAAGTTATGACTTAAGTGTGTCTCCTACCTGGCCTACGATTTCAGGGATGCCTAGAGCTCGGTCTATCTCCTGAAGAGTACTGACATCAGCAGCCTTGAGCAGAGAGTCCAACTGGTCTACAAGTTCATCACTTGGCCCTTCACTATTGGGCAGAGGCCCCAACAGTTCTTCCAGGGGGTGTGCAAATGGGTCCCTAAACACCAAACCAAAAAAACCATAACGAACAAGTTTTAAAAATGTCACCTTCAGAGTCTAACAATGTTAGCTGCTGAGTTCAGCTCGACATCTAATACAAGAGAAGATAAATGTGGGATTGGTGCATAAGGTTCACCTGTTTATGTTATTCTGTGGTCTCTCCATTCCCATGGCAGAGTCAGGCCAGGAGGGCGACTGAGGTGGGGGACCGTGTCCAGAGAAAGGTCTCATGCCTACATTAGCATCACTGTTACCTAGAGACATGATAGAAATGCATGTATGGTTCACAATGTACGGTTCACAATGCACTTAACAGAAAGCTTTTAAATAGTCATGTTAGTATGTTGCACACAAATTAAGGGCAATTTTTTTAGGTTCAGTCTACAACAGAGACATGTGACATACCCATATCCATGAGCTGCTGCTGCAGCATAGATCTGGTGTTTCCCGGTGCACTGATGGAGCGGTTTATTAAGGGTCCTCCCAGTGGACCAGAGCGACCCATGCCAGGGTGTCCTGGTCCAGCTACAGGGCTGCCGCTGGATCTCTGCATCCCCCATTCCCCTGGCCCTGCCATGGGAGGGCGCTGAGGAATACCCATGCCTCTGCCCATGCCTCCTGAATAACAGGAAAATATACAGAGTGTTTCATTACTGGGTGTTGTCAGTCAAGGGAGTAGCTTCTGTGCGTTAAAGGTGGTGGCTCTAACTAAAAATGTTAAAGTAACTAGAACTCAAAAACAATTTCTCATGCAGTTTATTCTGTTGAACAGGTATTCAGAGAAAACTTGGAGATATTAGATATTTTAGGAAGTAAGTGCTTAAGTTACTTGTAGGATTGCCTCTTGGTGGACACGCACTCATGCCTGCAGGATAGCCATTAGGCACAGCTCCTCGGATTGGAACGTCCATGTTCTCTTGTTTGACCACTGTGGAAGAGGAAATATTTCTTCTTGTAGCCAGACCGCCTCCCATTCCTCCCTCTCCGCTCATGGGTTTGGAATCCAAGGACAAGGCTCTTTGATAGGCAACACGCGGACTTGGAAGAATGGGGGCTCTCTCTCCATCTGAAACAAATACAAAACCAGGTTTAAGGTCCCTTCACACTCTGTGTATTACTGCTCAGCACTTGAGTCAAATCACATGATGCACTTGATTATACTGACTGACGTACCATGTAAACTGTCTGGAATATTTCCCTGTTTGTTTCCAGTTTCCTTCCCAGCTCTGGGATCTGAGTCAGGGAAGAAGCCGGGGTTGTTCCTGGGAACACCTAGAATGGTCTCCAGGGTCTGAACCATGAAAAAAACAAAACAAAACAAAAAAAAAACAAAAAAAAAAAACAGGAAGGATCAGAAACGATGTCTGAGAAGATGATGTATTTGAGAACATGCATGCAAGAGAGATTTTGAGCCTACCTCATCAGCTGGCTCTAACTTGACCTTGCTTTCTATGCTATGGTGATCAGAGCTGGTGACCCCTGGCCCCTGAGCACCTCTCCCATCCAGATCCTTTGGTTTTATCTCCCCCACTTCTTTAGAGTCATCCTTATTGAGGAGGTAGTGAAGGAGGGCATTGGGCTTCTCCTTCTTAGGGCTCTGCTGCTCCTGCTTTGATTCTGACCCCCTAACCACTCCACTGGTGGCAGGCCCTGGCTCTGGTGCCCCAGAATCCAAGCTGCTTTTTCCTGTGGCCTCAGCTGTGATGCGAGCCACTTCATCAGGAGTATTCCCATTCTGCAGGAGCTTGTGGAGAATCTTGTGTTTTTCCTGCAGTGACTGGTTATTTACATTTCCTGTGCTACCAGAGGAGGAAACAGCAGCATGATTGCCGCTCGTAGAGGATGACACTCCCGTAGAGGAGGAGGGACTGGTGACACCAGCTGTTGCATCTTTACTCTCAGGTGTGGAGCTGGGCCCGGAGCTTGCTGTGTGGAGCTCATCTGTAGGAGAGGTGAGGAGCTGCAAAAGCTTCTGGTGGCACTTTGTGTCGGGAACCCGTCTGTTGGTTTCTCCCACACCCAGACTTGCCTCTCTGCTGGCCTGACTGTCTGGCTTGTCAGGAGGGCCCTCACTGGTGGGGGTGTGTGGGTGCTGCTGAGATTGCTGCTCTCCACCAGTCCCCAGTGAGCTTCCTGGGCTCCTGGAGTCCGAGTAGGCTGGGAGGGAAGTTTTACAGGGTCCCCCTGCTGCTTGATTGGTAGAGTTGATGCTTGGGGAGCTGTCGGGCTTGTGAGGAGGAGGAGAAGTGAGTGGGGAAGGCATTGGATTGCCCACTCCCTCACTAATGGCTTGAAGGGCATTCAATGAGTTGCTGGAGAAGGTGGTAGCTCCTCCTCCACCTCCTGAGTTACCGGCATGAGTGGAGCTCATGGGAGAGTTCATACCTACAAAGGACACAACCAGAGTAAATCTACTGAACACACACCAAATAAAAAAATAAAGTTTTAACTATTTATAACTAAAGTACAGTTAACAAGCCGATTTCTTCTTTCCTGGCCCTATATGAAAAACTAAGTAAACCTATAAACCGGAGCAAGTGAGGGCTACAGTTCATGGTGTGTTGCTTTTTGCAATCTTTTAGCCTGTTTCACTTTGTTAGGCACATTCTATATAAGCAACTTCTTGACTCAACAGGTCTGGCAGTAATCAGGCCTGGGTGTGGCTGGTGAAACTGAACACAGCTTTCCAAAAAATGTGGTTTATCGCCGTTAATTCATGATTTATGGAGAATATTACTTTTCACATGGGGCTAGGAAGGGTTGGGTCAATTTTACTGAATTTTAATGAATGAAATCATTATTTAAAAACTGCATTTTGTATTTAGTGTTGTTATCTTTGTCTGATTTTTCAATTTTACTTTTAAATAATTAATTTAAAACATGCAAGTGTGAGAAATATGCAAAAAACAAAACAACAACAACAACAACAACAACAACAACAAAAATATTTTTTCATACCACTATATTCAATTTTGTTTTAAATTCAGCCGTTTCAGAATAGTTGGCTCATACCTCCGGGAGAGAAGGGGCTACCTCGGACTCTGGGGGAACCCATGACGTTGTGCGGAGGACAATTTATCCCTGGACTGGCTTGGGGAGGGCTTGTCATTCCCATCCCATACCCTGCACCTGCAGGTCCACCTCCAGGTCCATGGAACGGGGCCATCTGCTGATGCTGGTGCTGCTGTTGTTGCTGCTGATGCATACCATGATGGCCCATCTGATTCATGGACCCCATTTGGTTCATTGAGTTCATGGGGGAATTTATTGGATGTATGGAGTTCATCTGATTCACATGACCCATGTTGTTCATCTGATGCATGGAATTGATTTGATGCATAGAATGATGCATGGGACTCATTTGATTCATCCGGTTGCCCCCAGCGTACGGCGGCACTCCTCTTTGTGGCACGTTGCCCTGCTCAGTCATACCGTAGCCCCTGTTCATGGCCATCCAACCTCCTGGGCCCATGTTCATCTGTTGGTTGGGGTTGTTCATACCCATGGTCTGAGGCCTCATGCCACCACCACGGTTCCCCCGATAACCATTATGCTCCCTACAAAAATACAAATGAAAACGGAACAATGATTAAGCTGTAGAAAGGAATGAAACCGATGATGAAATCATATTGTTCATTAGACAATTTGCACCTTTGCAGCAGGTGTGTGGAGAGGAAAGAGTGTGGTTCATTTGTGCTGGGATTCCTGCAGAGGTCACTTCTTGTTTGAGCTGTGACAGAGGTTCCATCTGAGAGTGAGAACCGGTAAAGCGGTGTCTCCGCATGGCCATTATGGAAAGCTGGAGCAAGAAAAAAAGAAGAGAGAAAATAATGTCACTCCTCCAAAATAGCTGACCAAAAAAAAAAAAAAAAAAAAAAAAAAACAAAAAAAAAAACTAAACATACTACGAATATTAAAACATCCATAGGTAATAAACCAGCTGCCATACAGTCCCCTCTTCAGCAAGACCTTTAATATTATAAAGTCAGCATAGAGATCATTCACTGTTTACTATAACCAAGGCACCCTGCATGGTCAATAACTATACACCCCAGAAAGTTTAGCTACATAGCTCATGTCTTTTGCTAGAGTAAGATTGTTATTAGTGTTGTTACCCTCTTATTTATGTACAAGGAGCCTTAACCTACAAAACAAAGATTGTAATAAGATGACATGTCTAAGAGCAACCAAACAAAAGATGTTACTGCACACATACAGTGGGGCAAAAAAAGTATTTAGTCAGCCACCGATTGTGCAAGTTCCCCCACCTAAAATGATGACAGAGGTCAGTAATTTGCACCAGAGGTACACTTCAACTGTGAGAGACAGAATGTGAAAAAAAAATCCATGAATCCACATGGTAGGATTTGTAAAGAATTTATTCGTAAATCAGGGTGGAAAATAAGTATTTGGTCAATAACAAAAATACAACTCAATACTTTGTAACATAACCTTTGTTGGCAATAACAGAGGTCAAACGTTTACTATAGGTCTTTACCAGGTTTGCACACACAGTAGCTGGTATTTTGGCCCATTCCTCCATGCAGATCTTCTCGAGAGCAGTGATGTTTTGGGGCTGTCGCCGAGCAACACGGACTTTCAACTCCCGCCACAGATTTTCTATGGGGTTGAGGTCTGGAGACTGGCTAGGCCACTCCAGGACTTTCAAATGCTTCTTACGGAGCCACTCCTTTGTTGCCCGGGCGGTGTGTTTTGGATCATTGTCATGTTGGAAGACCCAGCCTCGTTTCATCTTCAAAGTTCTCACTGATGGAAGGAGGTTTTGGCTCAAAATCTCACGATACATGGCCCCATTCATTCTGTCCTTAACACGGATCAGTCGTCCTGTCCCCTTGGCAGAAAAACAGCCCCATAGCATGATGTTTCCACCCCCATGCTTCACAGTAGGTATGGTGTTCTTGGGATGCAACTCAGTATTCTTCTTCCTCCAAACACGACGAGTTGAGTTTATACCAAAAAGTTCTACTTTGGTTTCATCTGACCACATGACATTCTCCCAATCCTCTGCTGTATCATCCATGTGCTCTCTGGCAAACTTCAGACGGGCCTGGACATGCACTGGCTTCAGCAGCGGAACACGTCTGGCACTGCGGGATTTGATTCCCTGCCGTTGTAGTGTGTTACTGATGGTGACCTTTGTTACTTTGGTCCCAGCTCTCTGCAGGTCATTCACCAGGTCCCCCCGTGTGGTTCTGGGATCTTTGCTCACCGTTCTCATGATCATTTTGACCCCACGGGATGAGATCTTGCGTGGAGCCCCAGATCGAGGGAGATTATCAGTGGTCTTGTATGTCTTCCATTTTCTGATGATTGCTCCCACAGTTGATTTTTTCACACCAAGCTGCTTGCCTATTGTAGATTCACTCTTCCCAGTCTGGTGCAGGTCTACAATACTTTTCCTGGTGTCCTTCGAAAGCTCTTTGGTCTTGGCCATGGCGGAGTTTGGAGTCTGACTGTTTGAGGCTGTGGACAGGTGTCTTTTATACAGATGATGAGTTCAAACAGGTGCCATTCATACAGGTAACGAGTGGGGGACAGAAAAGCTTCTTACAGAAGACGTTACAGGTCTGTGAGAGCCAGAGATTTTCCTTGTTTGAGGTGACCAAATACTTATTTTCCACCCTGATTTACGAATAAATTCTTTACAAATCCTACCATGTGGATTCATGGATTTTTTTTCACATTCTGTCTCTCACAGTTGAAGTGTACCTCTGGTGCAAATTACTGACCTCTGTCATCATTTTAAGTGGGGGAACTTGCACAATCGGTGGCTGACTAAATACTTTTTTGCCCCACTGTATATAGTAATGGAGAATCAGAAATGCATACCATCTTGGTAGTGGCGTTTGAAGGACCACGGCTGTCCCTCACTTCGATGGATGAACATCTGCAAGCAGCGTCTAACCAGGTCTTCCCACCCTGGGCGCATGGTCGTGTGAAGAGAGTTCTGCTGTTCAATTTCAATCAGTTTACCTACAACAGAAAATCCCAAGTGAGCTGGTGGTGTTGAGGAGAAAGAAGCTTTCGGTTTAGTCCATGTGTATATAATACAGACATTTCTAAATAACACTGCCTAACGTTCATATTTGTGACATGGGTGGATTTATTCTGTAGCACCACCTACATAATTTATAATATTCATTAAATTTAAAATAATTGTGTTATGCACAGCTGCTGTGCTTAACAAAACACGGACACTGTATTGTACAGCTAAACAGCCAGTCACAATGAACTCATTGCATTGTCCATGTAAACTCGTTAGACATTTGGATATGGTCAAAACAACTTGCTGAAGTTCAAACCAAGCATCAGAATGGAGAAGAAAGGTCGATTGAGTGACTCTGAATGTAACATGGTTGTGGGTGCTAGATGGCCTGGTCTGAGTAATTTAGAAACTGATGTTTTACTGGGATTTTCCCACACAACTATCTCTAGGGTTTACAGAGAATGGCCTGAAATAGTCTATCCTTTTATGACCACAGCGTACCCGTATTCTGATGGCTGCTTCCAGCATGTGCCATGTCACAAAGTTCAAATCATCCCAAAGTGGTTTCTTGAACATGACAAGAAGGTCACTGTACTCATATGACCTTCACAGTCCCCAGATCTCAGCCCAACGGAGCATCTTTGGGATGTGGTGAAACAGGAGAGTCACAACATGGATGTGCAGCTGACACATCTGCAGCAACTGTTTGTTGCTATCAAATCCAAGGAAATCCAAATCCATGGATGTTTCTAGCACCGTAAAGCTTGAACTGACCAATTCTTCACGTGCCTTATATTGCCAGAAATCATGAAAGAATAGTGCATGACACACACACACAAAAACTTTTGTAATTCCTGTTTGCTGTAGAGCTTCAATATACTTCTATTTTAAAAAATGAAAAAACACAAAAGCAACAAAAAAAACAGAACCCAAACCAAAAAACATTAAATAAGATCTCATCAGATCACAATCACTTTGATGTCAACTAACTGAAGCAGTAGAGTGTGTCTGTTTTACGGCTGTGACAGTCTCCTGTTGACTAAATCTGTCCACAGACAGACATATTCAGAGATTGTGGTAATTCCTGCTGCAGTCTGGGTCTCCACAGCCAAATTTAGCCAAAATTACACTTGCACAGAGACAGACTCACTATGTGAAAAACAATAACAACTATGCTTTATTTTTAGCTACACACAAGCTTTGCGAGTATACCGTGCATGACTGCAATGCTATTGCACAAACAAGAGCTGCAAAAGTGTCCGAGCGGGCTTTGTGTTATGTCTTGCTCCAGTATGTGTTCCACGATGACACACAGACAAACACAGAGAAACTCACAGTATGAAAAATAATATAAGCCTTGTCGCTGTAGCTGGTTAAAACGCATTTTTCCCCCAAATGTACTTAATTTTTATTATTATTATTATTTAATTCTCAGGTGTCTCCATTACATGTCATACAGCAAACACTTACCAGACAGTTCATGACGAGTGCTAAACCTCTCTGTCCGCTCTACTGCAGTGATGCGTCGTGCCACACATATCATACATGACTGCAAATCTGAGGAAAGAGACAGCGCCATGTTAAATCCTCATGTAACTACAGTGGAGGCAGAACGAGACAGTTACTATTTTGTTTATGGATACAGAACTATTTGGAATATTTAAGAGGAAGCCAAATAAGGCAAAAGGTAATGAAAGTACATCTGGTTTTAAACCACAAATTTTAAACATAAAAGTATGGTACGAATGAGTATAAACATAAGGATGTTAAAGATGGTGCAGAAAGCTGCATGTGGTCAGAAGGGAAAAAGAATAACCCACACAAACTTGACATGTCTGGCAGTAGACAGATGGAAAGACACCGATGGTTACACCCTTGTGCAATAAGACACAATAAGAGAGCTGATCAAATAGTTTCACTAACTCATCTACACAATGCAATTTGTAGAGAGTATAGGAGCTGTGGCAATTGTTTGGCTTGAAATAACAACTGTACCAAAATGATAATTCGAGTATAAGCTCGAAATTTTGACTTTAGTCTAAAAATGGACACTAATTATTATTTATTTTCTTAATGTGGCTATAACACTAAAAAAAAAAAAAAAACAAGCTTATAAACAATGACTTGCCATCTCCCTCCTCCATCATGGCCCGGGGCTGAGTGAGAGCAAAACACTGCATAGTCTCATAGCGTTGGCCTCCCGCTCTTTCTTCTGGCAGTCCATGAGTCTGACCGTGAACATAGCTGACCAGCATGCGACAGTTGAACGTGTGGCTCTTCTGACGAGGTGCCTCTCCACCCCACGATGCTCCATTGGGTGCTGTGATGCAAAAAAAAAAAGAAAAAGAAGAAAAAAAAAAAAAAGATGCAGACTCTTTAACCACGTGTGCAAGTGATCCACCATTTATGTGTGTGTTGTTATGTTTTATGCATCTTAAATGCGTTTGCACAAACATAATAAACACTCGTGTCTCACCATTAGACTTGGGGAGATTCTTGTGAAACTCCTCTCGGTCCTCGTCATGGATGATATTGTACACGCTGGTGTTGATCAGCTCCTCCTGCTTGTACTGCAGGTACTGGGTCACATTGTCCGATACAAATACAATGCTGCCCTCCCGGTTAACCACAAAGAGAAAGCCGTCCAAGGCCTAAAAGAGCAAGGGCAGAAGAAAGGAGAGCCAAATGGAGTGAAGGCCCGTCAATGCAAATAACATTAGTTTTTTTTAAAAATTATTATTGCTTTGTCCATCTAAAAAGAAACCAGCTGAGACATTTTTAATCAGCTACATGTCAGCAATGTCACCAAAACACAGATCCAACATATGGAGGGGGAGCTAATTGGTGTTACTCTTTTGCCCCCGAGTGATTGTCCCCAAACTGACCTGTAGGAGCAGTGGCCCCAGATGGTCCTTGTCAATGACCCCTTGACCAGTGGAGGAAACATCCGCCTTCTGAACATCGTCATCACTGCAAGAACTCTTTCCTGAAAACAAATGAGGCACACTGCACTGTTGGTAACGATAATAATGTTACAGTTCTGTTGAAAATAACTTCCACTGTGTAAATCAACAAGATTAGTTTGAATTCTTGGGACAACTTGGTGCATGACCTGTATATTTTCCCCAACTTTTACTTTGTTTTTGTACATAATACTGAGGCATAATCTAAAATGACAAAAAACAAAACAACAACAACAACAACAACAACAACAACAACAACAAAACAAACCCCAACTTAAAACATATCAGTCTGTATAATTACCCACAGTATAATAAATATGTTTTCTGGCCACCAGATGGCAGCACAAGTCATGACTGCATGGTTGGCATGCCTTTCTATTTTTAAAATCAGCATGTGTCTGAGGCTTTGTTAGATACCACTCTATATAGCTGGGTCACTTGGAACACAAGCAAGATGTGAAACTGTATGCCACTGGATTTAATGCTATTTCAAACTTTCAGTAGCTGTACAAGAAGAGATGAGACAGCAGTTGCTGACCTAAATGAAAAAGAAAACATAACAAAACAAGGAAACTGATCCTAAAGACGAAGACGTGTAAACAAGGGTTGGGGTGGGGAAAGGTGTGTTAAATAGACAACATTCAGAAAAGAGAAGAAAAACAGAGAAGCCCCTCCATCATTCTTATCCTGTATCTATGGTAACCTGGCTGCACAACGCCAGGACCCACAGTAGCCAGCTGTGACCCTCTGGGTACATTCCAATATGATTGCTCGCTTTCTTCTTTACCCACTTATCCTAACAGATGTAATCGCAACCAGGCTAAAAACATTTGGAGGAAGTTATTCACTTCTGTGTATTTAATTGTGTAAAATCTGCAAAAATGGTTTAAAAAAAAAAAAAAATAGCTTTGAGATAGGAGTGGCTCTCTATAAGGTCTGATTTCTGAGTCTCCAGTAGCATTAGTCTCCCAGAGAGAAACAGGGTTTGGCACTAACAGATACACACTGTCACTTACAGCCTTGAGCCATGACCACCAAGGATTGGTCTCAATTACTGGTGCTCATTTACCCCCAGCGATACAAACAGCCAAACTGGCTGTCAGTCTGAAGTGGCCTGGCCATGAACCAAACACACTACTTTATCACTGGCATCATCTGTCCTGCAGCAGCGTACTTGACAATCCTTACTTTCTCCACGGTTTACTTTCCATACACAAATTCAAAAATAAAATGATCCTTTTTTGTTTTAATCACAAAGATGTAATCTGAACATGGAGGTGGTACCTTGCTCCTTGATTTGTCTGATCTGCCTCACTGTCTCCTTCAGGATGGCACATTTGTCAGGCTTGACGTTGAAGCTGTCAATGTTGGAGAGGTTGGCAGAGATGAGCTCAGCCAGCTCCTCGATGTACTTGCTCTCCTGTTCCCTCCGACGCTTGTCACACCTGCTGAGGCACCAAAGGGATTAGATATGTTGCCATGACAACCTCACCTCCCCATGCCCCATCCGTATGCAGGCCATACGGCCATACAGGGCTCAGATGCTTCAGATATTCAGTTAGCAGCAAGATATGCTTGAACCAGGGATGTGGTCAGGAGGAAGACAGCGACATCACACACACTCATGCATCATGCTGGCATTTAAATAAAAACAGCGACGGACAAAGTGGACTGATGCATTAAATATACTCAGCACAAGTTAGAGCACTTACCCTAAGCTTGGAGTGTCACAGGTGGACAGTTTACGCTTACGGTCGGAGCACAGGGGATCCAACGAGTTGTCTCCGACGCCACTCATCTTCAGCACACATCAGCACCTGAAAGCGCAAATCGGTGCATTGCATATATACATAACGTGGTATGATCAGACAGAATGACCTGAGAGTGGTATGTGTTGCAATCTAAAAGACCATTAAAATGTTTTTTTGTGTTTTTTTGCAAAGTCCACTCAGAAGTGAGTGCAGATGAAGAGACTTCTGGGGGAACAGAAGAATTTAGATCAGTATAGATTTATAAGGGCAGACTATCCAGTTATCTGAGCAGCCTTGGTTTCTGCACTGTGTTTGATGGGAGTGAAATCTCATCTGTTCCACTGCAAGGAGCAACTGATGATGATGTAGTGATTTGGAGCCTCAGGGGAGATGGGTCATCCCGCGTTCAGCCAGCCTGCCCGCTAGAATGATACCCTTCTGCTAGCAGCGGCAACACAAGTATACTATACAAACCATTTCCAGTGCACTTGCATGCTCAGGCATGTCGGGGCACAGTGTTTAAGAGTGCTAGAAGCTACTGTCCCAGAAAGGCGCATATTCACCAGCTCGTCTATTTGTTTAACTGCTTGGAGCTGCACAAGCCAAAAAAAAGAAAAAAAAAGAAAAATATTGCACACTGTTCAGGCTTGTGGAGCCTTGAAACAATCCAGGCGAGGCTCTGCAACTTTTAGTCATTTGAATATGCTGTATTCTCTTTACTGTGCACGGTTAATGCTAAGCTATATCAGTTCTTTCTTCCAATAGATTTTAAGTTCAGTCCCCCTGTATCATCCTAAGACAACACCTCCCTTGTATTTTTCCCTTTCGGTAGTTGTGCCGAGCAAGGGATCGTGTCCTTGTTTTCTTGCTCTGGTACTAGCCTCTGTCTGACCTCTCAGAGTTCATGAGAGGAAACCCCTGTAGCCAACATCTAAGGTCACTGCTCCTTCCTATTCCCACCCAAAACCTTCTGAGCTGCACTACCAGACTGTTCGACTAAAACCCTATCCTGGACTTTGTGTCTGCTTCTGTGCGCGCACGCACACGCGCGCACACACACACGCGCGCACACACACACACGCGCACACACACACGCACACGCGCACACACACGCGCACACACACACACACACACGCGCACACACACACACACACACCAAAGAAGAAAAGTGTAAAACGGATGGGAGTCATTATGCAACTCCTGCTCTGCAACTGCAGGCTAGGACATGCAGCCCAGTCACCCACCACCACTATTACTACTAGAAGAGCACCAGGTCTCAGACACACACTTTGTGCAGTAAATCTGCATCGCATGCTTCTTGTCTGTCTACCTTTCAGCACCCCTCTCTAAATCTGCCTGTCGTGCTCCGGCTGTGACTCTTGCTCCCCTCCCTCCTCTCTTTCTTCCTTCCTTCCTTTCTGATTTCTGTCCTAAGGCTCACCTCTGCAGCAGCATAGAAAGATGACATCAGCCCTCAGTCAGCCTCACATCCTGACCGGACAAACAGCAGAGCTGTAGGCTGCTGGAAGTCTTTTGGAGGACAGGGTATGAATACCAGGACTGTACTACAGGGAAACCTTACTGAAAACCAGAGTAAACGTAAACACGTTCCAACATGGTAATGGAAAAAAAAAGAAAAAGAAGAAAAAAAAAAAAGAAAAGAAAGAAGAAAAAAAGAAAAGAAAAGAAAGGTAATATGATCTTACACAAAACAAGAATGCTCTCATTTGATTTTGACAACTGTAACTCAAATTTACTGTTGTTTTTAAGTTTGTGTGTTTTTGACATTTAAACCAGCTAAACGTTTAACATGACTGAAAACAGACACAAGTTGAGTAGATGGCAGCAGAGCAGTAAAAGAGAAACTTTTAGCAGCAGCCCACCAAAACCACAGATGTCTTTCAACAGGCCTGGCAGTGTGCCACTGACCTGAATCAGCTTCATCTAACAGTGTGAAAGTTGCTCAGGAACAAGATGAGATGTTGCACCTACCATCAGGTACATGGGCACAGTAAATAATAAAAACATTTTATATTTCAAAGTAAAATGGTCCTAATTGTTATTTGATGGAGTGAATGCATTTCTGTGTTTTGTTACTGCATGCTCACCTTAGCCAGTACAAGCCCCAGTCAAAATCCATTCAGGGTCTAGTGTCACTTTAATGTCTCAACATCTCCTGAAAACAGAAAGAGAAAGGTCATGAACTACAGCGCTCTATAAATGTCTGGAAGTCTCAACATGACTAGTACTTTTGTGCACGCTAAAGCATGTGCTTTATATATGTTTTTCGTTCATAGAATTTCATGGGAAAGACTCAATTCTAAAAATGCACAGGAAGTCACAGCAGTTTGCATCCTGTTTGCCCCCTCCCCCTCGGCCTGTTCCACTGCGTCATCACTTCCCTTTCCAGGAAACGTGGCCACTTATCCACCATATTTACATATTCTGTTCGTCAGTTCCCTGTCGTCCTGGTTTTTACTCACATTTTGTCTGATTGTTGTCTGGCATCCGAGGGTTTCCAAAACTAATCTAATTGAGCATTAGGAGAAAACACGGCATGGAAATCCTTCTTCTATATCTGACAAAAGGTCAGAAAATTCCAGCAGCATTTACTAAAATGCTTAAAGACCTTTACCATCTATGGCAGCCAGTAAAGTTATCTCAGGCAGTGTGGTGTTTTTTTGGTTTTCTTATTAAGGAAACTCTATGCAGAAATGAATCTCGTGATCTTTCTAGTCACCAACTTAATAGTTTTTCCCATAGAGCAATTACAATATCAGATTCAGATATGTTATCTTTTTATTTTCTTTTTTTGCTAATCAAGTATCCTTCTGGTCACAAGGGATCTGTCAGATTCCCAATCCTAATATTTAGAGTGCCTTGTGTTCAGCAAGTGTACAAGCTCCTGCCTAAATCACTGCATCATCCTCTGTCAAAGAAAAGCCTGTGAGATAGTGTTTTTCCCCATGCTGAAATCTAAGAATAGCCACACAGAGTAAACAAATTCTTCCTGTGATAAAGTTTGATATATAAAAAAAAAAAAAATCTAAGGTCAAAATAAAAATAAATCCATTTTATTAGTTACAGTGTTCAACTGCTCATTTATACAAAGTTATACTGAGCCAATCACTTGTAAGTGTGTGCATGCATGGGCAAGAAGACCTGCTGTAGCTCAAACTCAGCATGATGGCAAACAAAGGCGATTTAACAGATTTTGAACGTGGTATTGTTGTTGCTGCCAGATGGGTTGGTCTGAATATTTCAGAAACTCCTAATATACTGGGATATTTTTTTTCCCTTTCACAACCATCTCTAAAGCTTACAGAGAAAATCTGAAACAAACACTATGAGTGAGTGGCAGAGAAAATGCCTTGTTGACACCAGAGGTAAGAGGGGAATAGTCAGACAGCTTCAAATGGACAAGAAGGCACGGTAACAAAGGTAACCAATTCTTGTAATCAAGGTAATCAGAAGAGCATCTCCGAACAAACAAAACACTGAACCTGGAAGCAGATGGACTACAGCAGAAGGAGAGCACATCGGGTGACACTCTTAGCAGCTAAGGACAAGAAACTGGTTCAACAGCTCAGGTTGGTAGTGATGTAATGTAAACGTATTATTGTTTAAAAGCAACAGCCTAAATTAGTATTGTTCCCAACCATGAGGATTGGTCCATAAACACAGACGAGCACCATGTTAAAAAGTGAAAAATTAATTCAGTTAAAAAGTCAAAAGGTTTGTGTAATAGCAAGGTGCACCTAACGAAATGGCAGGTGAGAGTATATTAAAAACACACATAAAACATTAAACATGCTAATAAAAATATATCATTACACAGTTGTCCAACTCATAATCATCACTGCCACACACAGGAAGTGTATGAACTGTGACTCTGAGTCCAGAGTGTGTGCCTATGAGATACTCCAACACAGGACACTGATTACATTAGTCCCAAAAACAGAGCTGCAACTCATCTAATGCTGCAGCTCAATAATTTAAACACAGACAAAGAGATAAAACCAGCCCTCTTTTCTCTGTCTGTCAACTGTCCAAATACAGGTTAATTATTATGAGGAACCTGTTTACACACACACACAACCAACAGAACAACAATGTAGAGACATAATGAACCCGTTTAGTTTTAACACTACACACTTCATCACACACACAAGTCTTTGCTAAGCATTAATCCCTTTGTTTTTGCTCGAGTTCATTGACGGTACAATTGTAGACCTGATCCTTAGGGAGGACAGGTGTTGCAAATAAATAAAATAAAAAGTTAAAAAAAAAAAAAAAAAAAAAAAAAAAAAAGCACTGAGAAGTAGGGCTGGGCCATATTATACCGTTCACGGTAATACCGGTATAATGTTAGGCAACGATAGGAAAATGAAATATCGCGATAGAATATGAGTAAAACGCGCATGCGCAGTGCCTTTGTTTTCATACGCACATGGCCGATTGTTGAGTGAAACAGATGAACCAGAATTGGTTTGTAAAAATGGTGCAACTTCAGTGATGTGGAACTGGTTTGGTGTTTGTCCGTCAGATACACGACAAAGCACATTTTTTTTGCAGAACATGCAAGCGGCCGTCGTTATTGTCGTATTTGTCGGACTAAGATGCTCTTAAATCTGGGAGTAATCTGGGTCCTAAACTCCGTATGCTTCAGGTCAAACGAACACTGCAGCATCACTGAGAGTTAAAAACTGTCTAAATTCTTTCATCTTTAATAAAACGATCAGCATTGCTGCTTTACCAGGTGTAACTATGAAGTTTAACTTCCAGGCATCCATGAAAACAAAATTTATTACATTTAACGGAGTTAGAAGTTAGCAGGAAGCTAGCGGAAGTTAGCTCGCTAGTTTCGCTAGTTACCTAAGCATGATATAGCATGTTCTGACTGAGAGATTTCTGAAAAAATTCAAACGTACAGCTCTGCTATCAGCAGAGCAGTGACGTTTGTAGGGTTACTGAAGTTGGGCTAGCTGGTATATAATGATGTGCTACGTGATCGCTAGCGACACAGCTATGTTAGCATAACATAAACAGTGAAGCTGGAGGACGAACACTAACACTTTTCCACTTATAAAAGTTAACGTTAAGGTTCCTGATAGTTAGAGACAAATGCAATCGCATGGCAGGATGCTGTAAACGGACCAAACTTCAGTCAGGAGAACAACTGAGATAATCCATCCACAATACAGGTTAGTCATTAATATACTGCAACAACATGGGAATAGAGCAGCTGCCAGAGAATTCAACATTAATGAATCAATGGTACAGAAGTGGAGGAAGCAAGAAGAATGAGTTTAATAAAGTTTGATTTATCTGACTGCTTTGTTTCGCTTAATGTGCCTTATAATCCCGTGCACCTTATGGTCCGAAAAATACGTACTGCACACTGCAGTTTAATGTTGCAAAGCACCTCTTTTTAACTTCAGTGGATATTATACATGGTTATGCTCAGGATATGTCAGCCCATTTCTACTGGAAATGCCTTTTGGTTAAACTTTCAGCAAGGAATTTGCATTTGCACTGTTACATTTTTATAAAGCTTTAATGTACATAAAAACCAGCTTCTTGTTTAAGTGAAAATAAATGGAAGGTTGTCTTTTTGCGCTAGTAATGTTGTGGAGTTGTATTTTGTCTCGCATCAATTATATCGTTATCGCAAATTTTCAAATATATATCATGATAAATATTTTTGGCCATATCGCCCTGCTCTACTGAGAAGTCTTAAGTTAAAGCCAAAATTACACCGAAGTGGTACAAAACAGCAAGTTACGCAAGTCTCATACTGGAACCAGTATGTAAGGAAGGCTGCAGATAGCCATTTTCTACCAGGGTGTTTTTGGAGAAGCAACCAGAGTGAGTTGCGAGATGACTGGTGCAAGACTGAATCAACAAGTGGGATGCAAGAGTTTGGGCCCAACAAATTATACTTTCTAAACTAAAACTAGCAGAATGACTCAACTACTAAACTATACCATTTCTACTTGAGGAACATCCAACTTTTTCTGTTGAGACTTGCATGTAGATGACTCCACCACAAATAGATTAGGTAAACATGATACAGATGACAGTTGAATGTCCAAATCAATGACAGGTACCAGCTCCATGAGCAGAATTTTGCATCCTCACGTCTTCTAAACTACACAGCACCATTGCAAACACTCCCTGTTATGTGCTATAAAAAAATTATTCAAACATCCTCTGTGTCATATTTTACCTGGCTAAAACTCTGGTACTGAGGTAAATACACATGATGAGAAGTCAGAATTGCTCCTGACCTTTGTGTGCTGGTCTTACAAACAAGTCTCAGTTAAGTAACTTTAGCAACCTCAGTTACTAGAGTTATTGAAAAGTTACACAACTGTGCAGTCTAGCTAATGTTAAGAGGTGAGTTTATCAGGAACTTTAGTGTTTTGTTGAAAGTGAATGGATTTTCTCACTTAGTTGTCTTTCATAAGTCTGAAAGGGTATTGTGGTCCTAGAATGTTCATGTTTCTCTTCAGATTTAATGTTTAAATGAACTTTCTATGCAAATACTGCTTCACCAGCTGGTGGGTATGTACAAGAGAGCCAAGAAAACTTCTATAAGAACATGTTTATCATTTTACAGGCTTAATGCCAATGACATTGTTTAGGCACACTTGGTGAATAACTTTACATTTTCAGGATTCTGCACATCACTTCAGTTACATCCATGATTTTGATTTACTGACATTTGGCTCAAGGCCAGAGCTGCAGCAGCGTCAGTCAGTCAGGACCAGAATAGTGAGAAGGACATTCCTGCTCAGCCTAAAATAAAGCCTGAAATCTGAGCTCCCCTAGACAAAGAGCGGCAGGCCCAACAATAACCACAGACCCACCCTAAACAAAGATGACACATACTGGGGTACACATGCACAAAATTAAAGACCCCTGAAAAATGGATCTAAGTGTTTTAAGTGTAGCAGGAAGTATTTCTCTTAAAACAAAAAAAATCACTGTAGACAGTACATTTTAAAGCATGATAGATCTGGGCTACAAGAACCGTTTAGCCTCATTACTTCATCACACACACACACACACACACACACACACACACACACACACACACACACACA